TTTAAATTTTAAAAAAGCACACACACACAGACACACACACAAGCACACACACACACACACACACACACACACACACACACACACACACGCACACACACGAGAGTTTTTGGTACGTATTAAATTCTGTGGCGGAAACATGCGGACTTTCAATCAAACTCGTTAGCATTTTGACTTTTCGTTGGCTCCTGATGAAGGAGACAGAACACTTACTGGAATGTCCTGTACGGGGATGATAGTTCTTTATCCATTCATCTATTAGGCTGGTAAGTGACACAAGGTAAAGATCCCTTTCCACGCCATTGACGCACTGAGCATTTGACAGTGTACTCAATATTCTAGAGACTAATCGGCACTTGATGGGTGATGTGGTCAATATAACACTGACTAAATTTACTTCCAGGAATATTTTCTAGTATCTATTTTAGACACAAAATATTTATTGATCGGCACTAGTATAACGATAGAAAGACCTATTCGGCAACTTTGAAGTCCAAAGGTATCGTTTACCTTGCCGGGATTTGAACCCATGACCGCCCAATGAAGACAGTGTGTCGCTGCTGAAACAAGTGTGCTAAGTCCAGCTAGCGCCCAGCCCCTTTTCCACCCAAACATTTGTGTCTTTGTGAGCCGTGTCTATCATTTGGATAATTTAAATGTCTGTAAACTGTGGAGCCATGTAATTGGTTTGAGATGGATTCTGTCCGTGTTATATAGTTGTTGTTTAAGTTTTACAATACTTGTTTGTTTCTTTATAGTATATCTTTGGTCTTAATGGTTCCTCGTCAGTTTATTCTGTGTATATATTTCAGGCTGAGTTGACCTGGGTACCTTGGGTTAATTATAAAAATCCTTCAGATGTGCTTTTGAACTGAACGTTTTCCGGTTGACAGGTAACCGACTAGCCATTGGAGGAGACCAAGAGTAGTGTTGGGCTTGGGGTTTGCTACCTCATCCTGTAAAAATAATAGCTCCTAAAACCAACCAACCCATGGAAAGTTAAAAAAGAACAGGTATGTGACATCGATGTCTACTGTCATGTCTCTTATTTCTGCCGATAATAGACAGCATTATGAAGACAGCAACAGCTAAGGCCATGAATGAAATTCACTGGATGTCTACAAAACAGTCTGATGACCTGACTTCCATGATATTATCTATCTTCTATCCCACTAATGAAATGAAATGCTTAATCAAGTAAATATACTTGCAGACCCCTTGAAATGGTTTATTAACATAACAAACAGACACTTAAATAAAGAACGCAGACATTACCTGCTTCTGTCTTGGAGTTAAGCAAATGTTGTCAACAGGCTGCTATCTGACTGATTTCTCCCACAGTTTGCAATTTGTTTTCCCAAGACACAAGAAAGTAGTGCGTTTATAGAACACATGTTTGTACGCTTGTAACTTGGGGCCAGGGACAGATCACTGGCTGGGGGTTGCAGGAACCTTGGGGGGGGGGGGGGGGGGGGGGGTTAAGGCCACTTAGCACCACCCCCTCCCCTTTTCTCCCATTAATAATTTTGTAAGGAAGCCATGCAGCCTCCTTTACCCAATTACATACATTCTCATTAAAAGTACCTGTTTGTACATATCATCATTATCATCAATCAACAAGTCCTTTACAGAATGTCCCCTTTTTTCACGGCACGCCTGAAAGAATTGAAATATTATAAGGGTTGTCTTTCCTGAGTGGATCCAATATTTCTTCAATGTTCCAGTGCAGCCTGACTCTCCGAACCACCCATCATCTGACATTCTGGAAAATTGGGGCAGTCACGGTCATATCATCGGATAGTCGGAGTTCTTTCTTGCAGTTCTGTTTGATGCTATCTAGCATGCCTGAGGTACGGTTGGTTCTATTGAGTATCATTCATCATTGAGTTCTTCTGATTTTCGCTACCGCACTTTTGCCCAGCAGGATCTGCAGCATGTTGATCAACGTCAATGTTGAAAGTGTGGTAACTGCTGCTCGGCCCAAGCCGATCTGTGAGAGAAATATGGTTGCAGGAAATTCGTGGTTGCCGGTCTTCTGCCTCTCTGGTGACATTTCTGGTGTCGGCCATTGAAATCTAAGGTTGCCATTGCGTTCTATTGTTGTACAGAGACAGCTAGTAAGGCTGACTGGTCTATAACTGGAAGCATTGGTACTGTCTTTTCAAGTCTGCCCCAGGTCCGAACGGTGTTCCGTACGTTCTTTACAAGCGTTGCCCGAAAATCCTAAAAATGCTTCCCGTCTTGTTGAGACAAGCGTGGATCCGCAAACACATATGTCCAGAATGGCAAAAGGCGAATGGGGTCTACATTCCCAAAGAGCAGGACTCGAAGAGTCTTTCCCAATTCAGGCCCATCTCGCTGTTGAATGTCGAGGGTAAGATATTCTTCTCGGTCACGGCTCACACAGTATCTGATGGCTAACAAGTACATCGATACGAGTGTTCAGAAGGGTGGTATTCCGGGCGTTCCTGGGTGCCTTGAACACGCGACCATGATTTGGGAGGCTATCCAGAGAGCCAAGCATGAGAGATTGCACGTGATTTGGTTGGACTTAGCCAACGCCTACGGGGCAGTCCCCCATAGGCTACTGTGGCGAGCCCTTCGCATGTTCCACGTACCGGCACAGGTCAATGATATCAACGAGCAATATTTCTCTAAGTTCGCTTTGCGCTTCTCTACCTCGACGGTTACCACGAGATGGACTGAGCTGCAGATTGGGATAGCTATGGGCTGTACGATCTCACCAGTACTGTTTGTCATGGCCATGCAGAACATGTTAGACGGGGCGGCCGGCTATGGACAGGGCCTTCAAATAGGGGATCACTGGATGCCGCCACTACGTGCCTTTATGGATGACACGACTATTATAACGGGCAGCGAGGAGTCTGCCCGCACGATCCTGAAAAGATTGAACGCGGTGGTCCAATGGAGCGGTATGCAGTTCAAACCGCAGAAGTCGAGGAGTCTGTCTATCCTTAAGGGTCGAGTGGCGGCAACCAGTTTTACGGTGGCAAGGAACAAGATCCCCTCGGTTCTGGAGGAACCGGTGAAGAGCCTCGGTCGCGTTTACGATTCGAAGTTATCTGATAGAGCGGAGGTCCGGCGAATACACGAGTCACTGGCTACAGGCCTGCTCGCGATCGAGCGTTGCAGGCTGGTCGGGAAATTCAAGGTGTGGTGTCTCCAATTCATGTTGATTCCGAAGCTCCTATGGCCACTGTTAGTCTACGAAGTGACGATGACTGCAGTGGAAACCATGGAGAGGAAAATCAACACAGCCTTGAGAAAGTGGATTGGTGCACCGCCTTGTCTGACCGATGTGGCTCTGTATTGTAAGCAGGCAAAGCTAGTACTTCCGTTCAAATCAATAATCGAAGAGTTCAAAGTTGGCAAAGTAAGACTCGCCATGCTCTTGCGCGAGTCTTCAGACCCAAATGTCATCGCTGACCAGCCCGCTCTCAAGACTGGGCAGACGTGGAGAGTCCTCGATGCGATTGAATCTGCGCAGAACGCACTAAAATTGAGGGAGATAATGGGTTACACTCAAACCGACCGTCGAGGCCTAGGGCACGGGAAGGTCAATTGGTGGTCAAAGGCCTAAGCCAAAGAACGCCGAGACATGGTAATACAACAGGTGAGGGACAACGAAAACGAGGTTCGTTTCCAGAAAGCAGCCCAGCAGTCGCAGCAGGGCCATTGGGTCAGCCTGGAGAGCGCATTGCCAAGAATACTCACATGGGGTGAGATCTGGCGAATGACCCCGTTGCGACTAAGCTTTATCGTTCGTTCGGCGTACGATGTATTACAGTCCGGTGTTAACATGGTTAAATGGTCTGCGACCAACGATCCGACTTGCCCGTTGTGCAATGCGAAGCAGACTCTTGAGCACGTCCTGTCCGCGTGCAGGAAAGCCCTAGGCAAGCCCTAGGCCAAGGCCGAAATACCTGGCGACACAACAAGGTGCTAAAAGAGTTAGCAGCCGTCGTTGACCAGGCCAGAATGAGGGCTAACGCCAGAGCCAGTTCTACCATCGTCCCCATTCGTTTCCTCAGGGCTGGGCAGATCCATAAAGGTAAGGTCAACAAAAACGCATTCGCTCCATCCGTGCTAGACTCTGCGAGGGACTGGTTACTGGCGGTTGATCTGCCGGGCCATGAAAGGTACCATGAGTTAATCCGTAAGACCGGCCTGCGACCTGACATAGTTCTCCACTCTGCGCAGAAACGGCAGCTCATCCTGATTGAGCTGACCGTCCTGTGTGAGTCGCGTTTGGACGAAAGTCACATGTATAAGCTCGAGAAATACAGTGACTTAGCAGCCGGGTCTTTGCCGTCGAAGTGGGAGCGAGAGGTCTCGTCTCCACTTCACTGTACAATGTGATTAAAGAACTAGGATTGCGCGGTAATGAACGGAAACTAACACTTTAAAAACTGGGCGAGGTAGCCGAAAGGGCCACGAGCTGGCTTTGGACGCAACGAAACAACGTAGGGGACGGGCCTCGGTGAGCTGGTCCGTGGTGTCTAGTGGAAAAGGGTTTCTCACCCCTTGAAAATCCATCGTGTCCGAATTGTCTACCAGTGTCTCTCTGCCACCTGCTAATAAAAGTCCAACATGTGTCCGGTAAACCAATCGTAAGCTTGTCGCTCGGTCGTCCAGGTATGCTGACTGTTTTAATTAGGCTGCCGCCACGACTTCTTTTCTCACAGTACCTTCTGCAAAACCACCAAGTCGTCTTGTTCCTATCCGAAAGAAAAACACCATCCGGTAATTTTGTGCAGCAGGGTACCAGCACTGAGCTTCATGAACTCAGGTGGGCCCACCTCCGAAAGTGTCTAGGAGAATCGTGGGCCGAAACACTTGTCGACGAGGATAACTTCTACTGATGACTGGTAGATCCCTGCTGTACTTGCTCCCTGTGAGTTTATTCCTATTTTCCTGGTTTTAGAAAAGGTATCATGATTGCTACTCTCCAAATCTGTGTAAATTTGCCACTCCCCCAACAATTAATAAAAATCTGTAGCTGTTTTTTTCCCCACCTGCTTTGTCCTCACAATCTCTCTCACTGCAGCCCTAAAGTGCTGCTCCTGCACTCCCTTCTTTCGGGACAATCTTTGATGCACTGTTGGCCCCTTTCATCTTTTCTTAGGCGTTAAGTCCACTTTGTCAGGCTTGAGGTACTTCTTCTTGAGACGCTTTTCTTCGGCCTCCTGACTGTTTTCACATCCACCTGTCACATCTGGCCATCCAATGTGATCAACTCAGGCCTGACCTTATCCAACAACATGAGCACTTTAGTCTGTTTTTTTTTTTTTTTTTTTTTTTTTTTTTGAGACCTTGACTGGAATGGATTGAATCACAGTTAGGTTTCCAGGCACCTGGAACTACGATGCTGGAGAATCCCCACACGTGTCCTATGCCAAACACATTCTCATACGGAGAGAACGTGAGATCTGCCACCAGCCTGTCAGCACAATGATAGATGTAAGGCTTGTCTGGTTGGTGGGTCTGGGTGGTTTTATCTTTGTACAGCTCCACCACGTCGTCTCTTCTGACAGCTAAAATTATCTTCTGACAAATAAAAGTCCAGGACAGCGCCTTGCGATGTACTGGAATCGGCTGAGTTCTTTGTACATTCTCAGATCAAATATCTTCAGTCTGCGATCCATACCAGTTGTAGCCCTGTAGGTTTCGGTAGCATCCACAGCTACATCCCTCAAGGCACTGGCATGACACAAGACTTTTGAGGCTGGGTGTCCACAGAGAAACCACAGCATTGGGATGTCCTAGGTTGACAATGGCCGACTGGGAATTCACTGCCATCACGTCCAGCCAACCTTGGCATTTTAGGAACATTGAAGGAAATAATATGGTAGGAACTCAAATCTCACAGCTGTTTCATAGATGTACACCCATTTTTTTTCTGAGCCACTGCAAACATCGTTTCCTGATACAGCCACTTCACATCAGAATGCTGCAACATGACCTTTGGCCCCAGCTATGAGAAAGTGCCTCCCATTGCGAGTTTGTAAGGCCCGAACTTGTCTAGGCTAAGGTCCAATATGTTCTGCTGCGTAGCCTCATCAGAAGTCTCCCTAATATCATTCTGGGTAATCTCGTATGTCTTCTCACCTTCTAGACCACCTGTCTCCTCCACAAACAACAGTTCACTTCTAGCTGATTTCTCTGAAACTTTTTCAAAGACTGGCTCTGATCTTGTTAGTGTGAAAGTCTGTTTTGGCAAAACCCTTAGCTTTGTCACCATTCCTCCATTTTTTCATTCTTTTCTATGGAACAAGCTTCTCTGTGACATTTTCATTTGGTCTCCGTGAAAAACTGAATCCCCCCCCCCCCCCCCCCTTGTCCGGCTCTTTTCTGTTTTTCCGCCTTCATTCTTTTTTCTCTTTGGGTGAAGAACTACAATAGTTGATTTCGAGCTCTGTTTTGTTTTGGATGGTGTAGTCCCTTCATTCTTTTTTTATTCAAAAGTTCTGACCCTTACTGACTTTGTGAACCCTTACTACAATTACAGTATTACAGGATTTCTGCTATCTGTCTGTTCATCTAGGACATCCGCTAACTGTTCATATATTTAGAACATTTAAGAGGTGTAGCAGCCTGGCAAAGCTTGCTACAACCTCCCCTCGATAAAGTTTCAAGACGCATTTAGTGACCGCTTTGTTACGACTAAATCTGTTTATTTATAGCGGAAATTACACTTAACTTTTGTGTAATGCATCAAGGAAAGATGTCTAGTATTTCTTTTTTTTAATTTTTGTTTATTTGTTTCAACAAACCCCTTTTCTGTTAACTATGTTTGCGCTGGACGGATAAATAAAATGCAAGTGACTTTTAAATTGAAAAGAAGAATGACAACTCTTTAGACTAAAGCATTCACAGTTTAGCAGGTTATTTCCCTTAGTAATAAATGCAGGGAGATAGACATAAAAACGAAAAAAGCATAAACAAAAGCTCGGTGCTACATTAATGGCCTGAAGAGTTCACAACAGTTTGTCCTCTTCTTTTGATATTGCTTTCCCAGGGTCTGCATTCTGAATGATTGACGACCAGCGCTCAAATGGAACTCACACTGAGTAGGACCTCTACAGAGCACACTCCTATCACAGCCTTCGTGAAAGAAACTAGATTACGATACGCCGTCCCAATACAGGAAGCAATTTTTCGCTGTTTTAAAACCCCACCGGCTGAGTGAGTAAGTGAGATTCAACCCCAGCAGGACATCCACCAAGCGATAAACACCTGATGACACAAAGTACCACCATTTGGATGAGGATAACCCAGGGAGAGGTACTAGAAAACCCGTTCAACTCTAATAGGTTGAGTTATATTAGGGCCTCCGGCAACAGCCAGGGCGAGCTTTAAAACAACAACAACAATTGCACATTGGGACACAGTGTGGTTTCGACGGTACTGCGGCTGTTGTCAGAGACTCTAAAATAACCTAACGGTTGAACTGGGTTTCTGGGATTTGTACCCGAGTGATCCTTATCTGAATGGTGGCCTTTTTTTTTTTTTTTGTCACCAGGTGTTGGTCGCTCGTTGTACGATCCTGTGGGGTTGAACGACACACAGAACCTAGACTGCAGCCGTGCTAACACGAGACGACATTTTTGTCATTTTAAGGCCTCATGCCAGCTTTCGTAAAGGACCATAATATAACCAAACAGTAGAGCACCAGGTGTGTAGATCCAGGAGAAGGAGATTAAGTGCTTAACCAGAAAGCTAAGAACAAATTAATATACAATAATGAGAGAAACCTTCTTCTTCTTCTTTTGTTCGCTGGAAATCAATCGTCTATATCTGCCAGTCTGACTCTAGCATGAACTTCCCAGTCTGTAGTTTTTAAGTGTGACATCCTGATTTTGTGGTGCAACTCCTGGCTGGTTGCCTCCCACTTCAGCAACTTATTTAAATTATTTTGGTGACCTAGATCTGTGACTTCTGGCGTAGATTTTACAAACTGCTGCTGGTAGACGAGAGAGGGACCCATCGACAAGGCGACTGATGAAGTATTGAGGTTTGAACTAACCATTTTGTGTCTGTTGTGGTTTTTCCAGGCAAATTTTACATTCAGTAGTTTGCCTTTGCTTTCAGCTCTGGGTACCACTGTCAAGCCCAATGCACGACAAACCGTCTGCAGCTGGGATCAAATCCAGCACTTGGGCATTACGAAGCGCAGTCGCAGCGCCTAAGCCACAGTTGTCAACACAACACAAGTACACAAATAAAAAAATGACAAGTTAAAGGAATACTTTGAAAACTTTTAATCTCATATTTCAAATAAAACAATAACCACAATATCAAATTATCTAAAAAAACTGCATTAACATTTCAATTACCAGCATAAAACGGAACCTGCTGAACTAGAAGAAATATATAACAACGTCAATAAGTACCCTTTTGGTTGCCTCTGAAGCATGGAATCCCACCCCAGCTTGTAGTCATCCTTGTCTGCAACAATGATTAACTCTTCTAGTGCCAGACACTCACCATACATTAATTGGCCACTCTTTGTTCTCTAGGAGCCTAGTGGCACAGTTGGTAGATGCTTGATTGACTATAGACCTGAAGGTTTTGGTTTTGAATCTACACTAGGGTATATGTTTTATAAGCTTTTATTAAGTTCACTTCTGTTAGTTTTATAACTATAGTGGGCTCGTAGGTCGACCAAGCCTTCAACGGGTCGGGTATCAGAGAATTTCCTGGAAAGTAAAGGTGGCTGATGAGATGTTGAAAACATCGCCCACAAAGGCAAGTTGATCTATATAAAAATGAGTATAGCATCATACATCTGATGCATGCAAATAGGGTTCTTCACTTTTTTCTATGTGTTGTATACAGTTTTAAATTACTTCCACCCCATTTTTACATTATCCTGAACGGGTTGCGGGGGCTTTATTTCAGGGAAAACAACAACAGGCCCACTGCTCCTTGAAAGGGATGTCGTCAAAGCAACTAACTAAGTGTTTGCCTAAGATATCGGCAATGATGCACTGAAAATTGCAGATACTGCGGCACAGCTGTAAGGAAACACTAAGCTGTGAGACAACACAATGTGTCAGATGACATTTTTTCCCACGTGGGTCCCGGAGCCCTATTATAGGGAAAACAAGAATAGAACCACTGACTACCCAAAATCATGTTGTAAGAGTTGACTAATTAGGAGCTTCCTTCAAAGTCGGAGGCATCTGCCTGTGAGGCAATGAACCAGCAGTGTGCACACAAATGAGTCAGATCTGTAAAACTGATGTACACGCAACACTCAGGTTCTGGCACAGGACTACAGTCCATCAGTGGATGAACAACCATAACTTTCCGCTAGAGTTTACAGCTGGTCAATGTGAAGAAGAAGAAGAAGAACATGCCATTTTAAAGGCAAAACAGAAGAAGGAGGAGAGGAAGAGGAGGAAGCAGAAGAAGAAGATAAACAAGAAAACTTATTTCACATTTAATCACAACTGTTACCGTATCATATGTTCTGTCTAATATTTGTATTATGTTAACTTCATCACAAAAACTGTTAAACAGAAAGTGGTAATGCAACAAACTGACTGGGACTCAAAGAGTTAATATGAAATGTAATCTAGTTTCAATCGAATGAGTCATAAACAGAAATATTTCATCTATCAAAGCTACAATATGAATCTGTGGGCATCTAGTTACTCCAGTTTTGAATATAAAGAAAAATGAATCTAAAGAAGAAGTAGAACTATTCAGCTTTCCAACTAAACACAATCCCTAATGTCAAAATGAATGCCATGAATGTCAAAATGAACCCAGTGGCTAAGAAATGTCTTCAACAGCATACAAGACACACAGACAACAAAGCAACCAAATTATTTTTTAAATACATGAAATAATTTACCTTTCAGGTGAAGCTTTGTCTGAATGTACATCTACACTTGAAAAAAATTAAAAGCTTTTTTTTTTTTTTTTTTTGCAGTCGGCCTTTATTAATCATCATGGACACAGACAGTGGACACAGAGTGACCCAGGGAGGTAATTTAGCTAGGTGGGAGGTCATAGGTTACAGTCAGGGGAAGCAATTTCCCTCCCCCTCCCCGATATTCAAATGAAACTTGAACGTTAAGGTTACGAGGAGACAGGAGGCTCAATGAAGAGATAAGATGATTCTCCAGAGACCTGTAAACTCTTTCATTGAAAAAGCAAAATTTGATAAAATTAAAAAAAAAAAAATTTGAAAAACTGTCAGTTATGTACATTTGTCATCTTCAGCCCATAATAAAATCATACAACATGATTTTTCATCGTTTGAGAAAAAAAAAACTGCACATTCACACCATCTATATCCAACATAATATATGCAGAAATGTTAGTAGTAACTAAAACACACACATATACACATATCCATATGTAATCTCATGAACGCAGTGCTTCTCAGAAGAAAATGATAGTCAGTTAACCTAGGTAGCACATTAATAATACACAGTTAGCCAAGAAAATGTATACACAGTATTCGCCCAGCAGGGAAATGCATAAACATTTTTGTAGAGGCCATCTGTTAAAGAAAAAAAAACTTCATCATTATTCTGATCTGATATTATAGATATTCTGTAACAAAATTACGGAGCTTTGTGTTGTATTGTGTTTAAGAAAAGTGTCTGAAGGCTAATGGGAATCCCTTTGAACACCTGTTGTAACTTCATACATCACATGTAACATGTATGCATCTCTTTGTGTCAGAATAAATTTAGTTTACAATATAAATGTTTACAAAGGTTGTTATTGTAAAAACTCCACGCAACACATTGCTACGGTTATGTATTCAAAGACCGCAAATATTGTATATGTAGATACACTTCACCGATGGGCGATTACTGTATATAAATTTTGTTGGGCTAAATCAGTATGTGTTGAATAATAACAAGCAATTAAATTACACCTATACACATACATTTATGCACATATATACGCTCAGTGAAACACTATACTTCCTAAGAATAGGAGTGGACTTCAATGTGCTGTAACAAAGCCTTTATCAACAAACCAACAAAGATATACACACACCAGCAGATGGACAACTGTTCTGCGAAATGCAGAAATTACGTAAACTGGCTTGTTATGGTCACATTTGGAAACAAGAAGATCTAAGACTGAAAATAAAGAGGAAGACCCGAACCAGAGAACTGTCATTGGGTGTGTAGTGTCAGGAATTGCAAATTTTAAGCCTAAGCCATATCAGGTGCGGTGGCCAGTTCCCTTCCTCATGCTCTTTACCTCCCCCAGAAAATTTCCAGAACATTCAAAGAGTTATCTGATACCCATACTTGAAGCTTGGAACACAATAGGCAGAAAACAGCGAACAAACAGCAATGAAGATCACTGAAAATGGCTTTTGTCAATGA